CCTGCTGAAATTTGATTTTATTTGCATGATGTTTAAATGATATATATAGCTCTCTTCAAATACAGTTATGGCAATTAGATTTAAATATTAGAAATCCTGACCTTTTTTCGTTAAAGATAACCTAGATAAAATATCCAAGAATTTTTTATTGTGATCACATATTTCTTGCTTTTCCTGTTTCCATTTAAGCTTAATATACATATTTACTTTATTTAGCACAGAGATTGGCATAATTTTTGTATAAAGGGTCAGATAGTATTTTTAGGCTTTGCAGGCCACATATTTTCTGTCGTATATTCTTGTGTTTAGTTTAGTTTTGTTTTACAACCCTTTTAAAAAAATAAAAACCATTCCTAGCTTAAGGACTGCTTGAATAATGAAGTATTCTTATTTTAATAAGTCCAATATCAGATTATTTTTGTGAATAGAAACTGGTTTTTATCTCCCAGAGGTCCAGTGCTCTGTGTGGTAATGAGCAGCAACGGCGAGCAGTGTTACAGTGGTGGCTCTGACGGACTGATCCAGGGCTGGAACACCACCAACCCCAACATCGATCCCTACGACTCCTATGGTATGAGTCCCCAAAGATAGGAAAGAATAAAGTGTTTCTCTTTACACATTTTACATAGCATACCTAGAATAAAATGAGGTAGTTTTGAAAATAAATTGGTAAAAGAGAACCACATTCTTTATTTTGCTAAAAAAGACTCCTGTATTTAGGAATCAATTTGATATATAATGCTAAAAGAAAAAAATGTATTCTTATACATTATTACTAATCTGTAATCATATTTCATCACTGTCCTTAATAAATAACTTCGAAGGAAAATGCTTGTTGCCATCAACTTCTTGATCAGTTATTGGAGGGTGAAGAGGCTAATGACTTTTCAAGTCCATAGAACCAAAATATTTAAAAGGCTTTAAAAATTAAGACATACCCTTTAATCTTGGGAACAGTACCATGAAACACAAATCCTTATAATAATCTATCACTAGCCATTAACCATATATTTCCTTGCAGGAATTGACTATTTTGGTTTCCTCTTAAATTCTCGAATGGTACGAAGGGTCTTATCAGTAAACCATATTTCGTTTTCATTATCACTTTAGATTAATTTTACAAGCCTAAGTAAAGATAAGAAATTCAATAAACAAAAAATTTTCCCAACATTTATGTAAATAGCATTTACCATATATTTTGTGAATGGCGAACCTCTTCTCCCACTCCAGTTCACCTACAGATTTATCTGTTTCATGCTTTTCCTTACTTCCTTTATCTATCAGAGACCAGTCCTCATTCTGTCCCAAGACAGCCCTTCCTCTTTTGCTCTTGGCCTCATTTTCTCTTGTTTCCTTTGAGACTGCACTCTACACTTCCCTTCAATCCCTGCCCAACTTTTTGTTGCTCCCTGCTTTGTTCTCCTTCTTTGTTCTCCTTCTATCCTCAGCATATAAGTAAATTTGGGTATCCCCCATCTGGGCAAGGGGAAGCCTTTTCTGGCTCCATTTTTCTCCTCTGATTTCTGTGTAGTCCCTCCATCATCTGTGTTTCTTTGGTGGTATATTCTAGATTAGAAAACACGGTTACTAGTTACCAAGTCCATGTCTTTTCCCTTTGCACCAACCCTCTGCATTCTGTCTTCTGGTTATACCACTTATATATAACAAGATTTTCACTGACTACATAATTGGCTGATCCAAGGAGTATTTTAGAATCTTTATTTTACTAGATGTATTGGCTATTTGAAACTCTGGACCACTCCATCCTTTTTGTAATTTGTTTACTGTTGGCTTTTTTGACAAGTAACTATGACAATTTGTTCCCTATCCTTCATAAACTCTAATTTTTCTCATTTTAAATATTGGCTTTTATCAAGACCCAGATCCTAACTCATTCTTTGCATTTTCCACATATTCTTTGTTAGATTGAATCCACTTCTATGATTTTATATGCTGTTGATTCATAAATCTCTTCTTTAAGTCTCATACTGTCTACAGAACATTTCAAAGTGGCTGTCTCATTGCCCATAAATCCCCACAAATGCTGTGTTTCTTTTTCCATATATTCTTTATTAGATAGTGACACTATTAGAATTACCCAAATTAGAAACTTAAGAGCTATCCTTGATTCCTTGTTCTGTTTTACTATCCACACCTTATTACCTAGTCATTTTGCTGTCACCTCCTGAATATTTTTTGAATTTACTCCTGCTCAGTCCCTTTTACCACTGCCCTCACTTGGGCTTCTTCATCACTCCCTCAATCTACTGTAACACTCCCCTTGCCTTCATCTTGATTTTGTCCAATCTGTTCTCACTACAGTCAGAGTTACTTTATTAAATACTTATTTTACCCTACTGTTCCTGAGAAACTCTTCAATGGTTCCCTGTTGCTTTCAGGATAATTTCCAAGTACCTTAATATGCCTTAGAAATTCTACCATAAATTAGCCACTCTCAACTCATCCACTTCTTGCCTCAAACTTCATACACCAGTAATACCAAATTGCTTATAAATTTCCTTACATATCATGCTATTTTTCCTTCTGTGGTTTTGCAGGTGCTGCCTCCTTTTCCAGAAATGCCTTCCCTCTATTCTTTGTCGAACATCTGAATACTCTAGGTGTCATTCTCTCTAAGAAGCTTTCACTCATCCCTTATAATTGGTGTCGTTACTATTATTGTACTCATCACATTGTCTTTGGAGGACAAGGATGGTATTGTGTCTTAATCATCTGTGTGGTTCTAGCATCTAGCATAGTGCCTAACACACAGTGTGTCTTCAGTACTTTATAGTATGACTGAGATATAGGACAGATGACACCAGTAACATTTTAAACTTAACATCCATGAGCCGTCTTGAAAGTACCTCTTTGTAGAGTCATTGTGAGGATTAATAATTAAAGTTTTCAATTTGACTTTTATCATGAAACAGTGTTAAGTGATCCTCCCCCTGCTTTCTACCTCCCTCCTCCACATGCACATCATTCATATGTCAGTTACTGCTGTTTGAGAATTTGGGGATTCCTGTAAGTATCAGTTCATGTCCATTATGTCAGAGGCCTGTTGCTCCCAGGAATAACTGCCATTCATATTACAGTAGGGGAAATGGCCTAAAGAAGTATATCTAAAGTGCTACAGGAGGTTAGAGGAGGCAAGAACTTGGTTCACTTCCTCAGGGAGTATGAGTTGTGCTTTCTCTGAAGATAGATTAAATCCAGATGATTTATTTGTGTTAACATGTTCTTTAAAATATCTAGACAAATGGAAGGAAAAAAGGAAAGGAGAAGGGATTACCTAATTTTTTTTTTTTAAAGAAAAATATGTACTTTGTAATTTTAATTTATAACTACATTTTAATTTTACACTCTATATTTGCATATTTCTAAACCTATTTTGAATTGTTGCAGCATTTCAGAAGAATAATAGACACTAGGAAGCATACTTTATACTATTATCAGGTGCTGTTTTCTCTGGAATCTAACTTGTTTTATAACTTGTTTTTTTCTTCCTGATTTTGCATTCTTCCTGTTTTGTATAGATCCTTCTGTTTTAAGAGGCCCTCTGCTAGGACACACCGATGCAGTCTGGGGTTTGGCTTATAGTGCAGCACATCAGCGTTTGTTGTCCTGTTCAGCAGATGGCACTCTCCGTTTATGGAATGCAACTGAGGTTGCTCCAGCCCTCAGCGTATTTAATGATAATCAAGGTACATAGTTTTTAAATATTTTACTGAATCTTTTATAAAATTCTAAATTATCTAAATTTGTCTTATCCTTCTAAAATCAGACATGCAAATAAATGATTCCACAAACTCTTACTGTTTAAATTTAATTTGAAGGATTTTTGAAGTAATGAAAATGTATTTATTTGAATTTCCAACTTATTATGTATAATTTTTAAAAGCATAGTATTTGGTGAAAGAGCACACCTTAAATTTTTTTTATTGAGATATAATTTATATACAGTAAAAATATATATATTAAAGATACATCTTAGTGAGTTTGACAAATGCATGTCTTACATCAAGATATAGATTTCCTTTCCTCCTGAAACTTGTGTGTCCTTCCTAATCAGTCCCCACTCACCATTCCCAACCAGAGGTATCCACCCACTATTGTGGTTTCTTTCATCATATATTAGTTTTGTCTATTCTAAAACTTCATATAAAGTGAAAGCATACAATGTGTACTCGCTTTGTATCTAGCTTTTTACTTTCATTATGTTTTTGTGATTCATTCATTTTGTAGTATCCATAATTTACTTTTATTGTGTAATATTATTTCATTAAACCGCAAGGTGTTTATTCATGCACCTCTTAATGGACATTTGGACTGTTTCCAGTTTTTGACTATTATGAACAAAGCTGCTGTGAACATTCATATGTTTTTATTATAGGTGGGTAAAGATCTAGAAGTAGAATTGCTGGACTTTAGAAGTAGAATTGTGTATTTAACTTTCTGTAAAATTGCCAAACTTTTTTCCAGAGTGGTTGTGCCATAATACAGCACTGACAGCAATGTATGAGAATTCCAGTTGCTCTACAACTTTAATTACTAACATTTGGTCTTGTCAATCTGTGCCTAACTTTAGCCATTCTGATAGGTGTGTAGCAGTATTTCATTGTGGTTTAATTTGCATTTCTTTGGTGGCTAATTATTTTGAGTACTTTTTTTGTGTTCTTATTGGCCATTAATATATTTTCTTCTGTAATATACACATTTTTGAACTGTTAGCTTGGCTTTTGTTAGAGTTGAACCAATGAAGCAATCAGATTATATTTCCTATATACATATCATTTTATTTTTTAATGTTTATAAATAAGCTTCAGTTTTAACCAAATTTTACCCTATTCTAGATGATAAAAAAACACTTTCTTTATTCTTGAGCTGTCATAACTTATGTCTAGGTTTTGACGACTTGCCTCATTTGATGTTTGTATGACTACCAATAACAATTTGAATTTTACTTTTTAAATTCTATGTTTTTGATGAGTTAGAATTTCTAATAAGAGATGGGCTTTTATTTTTATTTTTTTTATTTTTTTCAATTAGAGTTGACATTCAGTATTATTTTATATTAGTTTCAGGTGTACACCATAGTAGTTAGACATTTCAATAATAAGAGATGGGCTTTTAAGATGAAGAATTCCCATGATGCCACTCTAAGCACCGGGTTAAGGTGGAAGCAGCAAAACTTGTAGTCCATACATGTTTTCCATTTTTATTTTCTGAATAAAGGCCTGCATTCCATATATATATATATTGGCTGAGTAACAGAAGATGTACTTACAGGTAAGGATAATAAAATAAGCTACGGCTAAAAGAAACAAAAGAAATAATCTCCACTAAACAGCTTTGAGAAAATTCTTATTCTAATATCAAGCCTTATTTACTTCTTAAGGAAATCAAGCATCTATTTGTTTTGCTGTGTTTTAAGTACATTGTCAAGTAGGCCCTCTAATTGCCATTCTCTTTTAATATGTTCTGACTCTTTTAGAATTGGGAATTCCTGCCTCTGTGGATCTAGTAAGCAGCGACCCGAGCCATATGGTAGCATCATTCAGCAAAGGATATACAAGCATCTTTAACATGGAAACACAGCAACGCATTCTCACTTTAGAATCCAATCTAGATGCAAGTATGTGTACCAATTTTAAATAGCCTGTGTTTGGCTCAGTTTTTTAAAACTTTATCAAAAGTATTACTATTAGAGCCAACCATGAAAAGTACTTGTCATTATAAAGCTTTCTGCCTCCTAAATCACAGAACACAGTTACTTAGAAGGGTAAAATGATTTATAGTTGATTTTAAGACTTCTAGTTAAGTTTATGCACATTTATAACTATACTATTTGAAATAGCATTTGAGCTATTCCTGAGAGGAGTCAAGTTTAATTTTATACTAATTAGTCTACAGTTCTATTTAAAGAAAATAGTATTTATTCTAAATATAAAATAATCTGTTTTTCATTTCTCATAATTTGATTTTTTATATCAACCTAATTTTATAGTGATAATATAATTTAGCACAGCTCAGTACCAATTAGAATATAGATCAAGCTGTGCCTCTCAGAATCCCAAATTTGAAGCGTCTTATTGGATACAGAAAGTCAGGAAAAAAATAATTTTTCAGGTTGTGGGAAAGAATTACAGAATTTTTTTTGGTTTGGGGCTTTTTTAACCATTGATTTCTGTCTTTAGCTTAATTCAGACAATTACCGTTTAGGTTGCAGTTGATAAAACTACATACAGATACACTGTTATTTTAATCTGAAATTTGCTTTAAAAATAATTATGATGTGTGCGTACACACATGTGCATAAATGTGTGTATGAGTATGTTTGGCTCTCTCTCCATCTCTTTTTCTCTTGAAAATTTTCTTTATTCTGTGTTTGTTTTTTTCTTTTTCTCTTACAACCTGTTGTCCTTTGTTTTCTTCTGGTGTCCTGTGAAAATTGTTTGGGGCAGTAGGCATGAATAGAGTTTTGAACTATTTGGATGTAAAAGAGATAGAAATATCAAAATTGAGATAATGGCATAGGAAAAAGAATTTTTTTGCCAAGAAATATAGGTTTTAGACTCTCAGTAAATTTAAAATCATATTGAAATATATGACCAAAAGCTATAATAGTAAAGTAAAAAACCAATATGAAGTTAAGGAGGATGTGAACATTTTTGGAATTGCCTTCAGAGATTGTGGTCAGTTCTTTAAATGTCCTGAGTGGTAAGTATTGATTTTTAATGATTGTCACAAATTAATCAGACATCATATCTGGTTGGTGAGATGATAAACTGAACGAGGCAATCCTATTTTTTCCCCCAAGATGTGTGACTATAAAGTCATATGACTTTTTGCGTGACACTGGAAGTATTTGCTGAAGCAAACTGCTGAAAATGTTTGAACAAAGGCAGCATTACTGGAATAGTGATAATTATTTTGAGTTAAAATAATATGTCTTAACATTTCCTAAATTATCAGTTGAATTACTTTAGAGTTGTATAAAGCTAACTTAATTTAGTCTTTTATCCCTTTCTACTCTGACTACCTCTTAGCTATTTATATTTAACTATGTTGTTCTATTTGGGAATTTAGCAGATTTTTTAAAATTAAATTTAGACCAAATGTTTTTTAAGGTAAAAGTGAATCTCTATTTAGAGACTGTAAAAGGATAAAGGTTTGTTGTTAGAATCAGATTAAATTACACAACATTTCCTGGACCTTGTTTTAGTCACTGTGATATGGGCCTGATGACATGTGGCCTGTCTCATTGTGTATATAACTGAAATCTCTTTAAAACCTATTAAGTAATGCATAAAAAGTACTGTTGAGATGCTGACTATTTTGAGATTCCAAGAGTCGTACACTGTCAAATGGTGGCCATTTCTATTATGATGAAAAAGAGAAAAAGTGTTAAGATGCTCTCTTTGTCATGTTTATCATTAGATGATAACCATGTGATAAAGAGCTGTTTCTAGAAATAGTTGATATTTAAATTTGGGAATTACCTACATGTAAGTAATGATGGAACTTTACTAAAGTAGTAGAAATATTCCAGAACATTGTAGAATGAGAAATGTCAGTGGCTCTAGGCTAAGCCCTAGGTGGCACCTATGGATAGCATGTAGTAGAAGAGGGCATTCTAATTCTTAGGTACTTCTAGATTTGTCAGTATAGTATTATTGCTCAGGCATTCTCATTTTCTAACATTGAAATTATGAACACAAAGAGTAAGTAAACTAAAGACTAATTAAAGCCATATAATTTACTTTTTCAATTCCTTAAATGAGTATTCAGTTCTCTTGTGTGTGAAGAAATAGTAGCTTTGACTAATTTGTGTTGTCTTTAATTTTTTCCTTTTTAGCAGCCAGTTCTTCCTGCCAAATAAATAGAGTCATCAGTCATCCCACTCTTCCTATAAGCATCACTGCTCATGAAGACAGGCACATCAAATTCTATGATAACAATACAGGTAAGAATTTATTAAACATTGATTATGATTAAAGCAAAAAAAAAAAAAAAAGTCTCCACTATAAGTGGGGTAAGTTTGGTGTCTGTCAGTGGCTTTAGCGTCAGGGAATAGGCATTGAACCACAAATACTCCCCAAGCTCAGTTTCTGTTCATTCTATCCAAATGACTAAGAACTACTCTTCATGATGACTATGGTATCATCTTGGTTTATTTAATAATAAATATATGCTGTATTTTGGCCCTGGAGCCAAGATTGTCACTAGGTACATAATGAAAAATTCATTCAAGTACCATTAAAAATGATCTCTTACTGTGAGTATATTGGGGGAAAGTAGAAACATGTTATTGTGGAAAAGTAGAAGTGGAGGCATTTGGTTATTGTATCTTATTTAAAATTGTTAAATTTTTGAATAGCTTAGTGTTTACTTGGAAAACCCCTGAGACATTTGGTTTATTTTATTCATTTTTCCATGGACCAGTCTTCTCTGCATTATAATACTGACTGGTCCTGACTGATTTGAATTGGAGCTTTCCCAGTTTTTATTGGATTACAGTTCACTAGTCTAAAGGAAATTCATGAAGATGTGCACTGGGAGAAAAATATTCTGTTAGCAGCTGTATTTACCTGAGTACCTGCTATTGGCTTTGTAAATATGTTGACTTTCGCTGACTTTGCTTAGCCGCGAGTGATGGGTAATTTAGTATTGTTAAGCTCTTTCTATATATTGTTTCCACTAAGATAGTGGCCAGGTTTTCTCTCTGTTCCTTTGTCTCAGTTTCTTCTGTTCTCACAACCTATATAATTTGCCTTAGCTAAAGGATGCAAAGTATGTGATTAATAATGTCTGAGTTTTATTTAATGAACATGGCTTACAGGAATACTTGTGTACAAATTACTGACTTTTGTATTGTGATTTGAAAGACAAAGCTGTAATCTGGAATTTGAGCTTATGTTTCTTATTATTACTATTGCCAGAGTAGGGAGGGGAAATACTGTGATTTAAGCTGATGAAAAATGCTCTTGATGGAGTAAGTACACAAAGAGGTATGACTAGGAAAAACCAGTGTAATGAGGTAGCTGATATATATGTTGATATATATTCAGGATGATAAAAGCTATTAATAAAGAGTAACAATCTCTTTTTCCAAAGGCAAACTGATCCACTCGATGGTAGCCCACCTAGAAGCTGTTACAAGTTTAGCAGTTGATCCTAATGGCCTGTACTTGATGTCTGGCAGTAAGTACATCAACTATGGATCATTTATTCATTCTTACCATTTTCATGTTAATGTAATTTTTTCTTTCAAATTTTTTTCTTTTTATAATAGGTCATGACTGTTCAATACGTTTATGGAACCTAGAAAGTAAGACATGTATCCAGGAGTTCACAGCTCATCGGAAAAAGTTTGAAGAATCAATTCATGATGTAGCTTTCCACCCATCCAAATGCTATATAGCCAGTGCTGGGGCTGATGCACTTGCTAAAGTCTTTGTATGACGGAATGTGTCATCTTCACCTTCTAGCTCTTTATAAATAATCACCTGCACAAAAGAGATACAGAAGACCAGGGCAAGAAACAACCCATTCTGCCCTTTCATTCTGCTGAAGGAGCACAGAGAACATTTGTTAAAGTATAGTTTTGCAATTCGTATACTGTTTTCTAAAACTAAAGTTTGTTCAGGTTGCTGCAAGCTCAGCTGAATCTATGAGCCTGAAAACTGATTCAGATTTCCCCCCAAATATAGGAACTTTTATTTCTGAGGTGGTTCTAATTCGCTAGGCAGGCCTGAGCGAACATAGGTTTAGCTGTCCACTATATGAGCTTATTAAAAAGCTTGATGGCTGAGAATAGTAGAGGAAGAGTGGAAATTTAGACCAAGTTCTCCCCTGAGAAATCTTGGTAAACACATTAGTCAAAACAGTAATCTTCACCATCTCTGCTGTACTAACCCTATGTGCATAATGACCAGCCAGTGTTAAAATTAGTTTTTAATTTCTCTCTACATTCAACTGTTCATGTAAAGCACTTGGCAAAGCATTTTACCTATTAGGGGGAAAGAAAAAGAAATGCAATAATATGTTAAGTATATTATTCATAAATACTAAACAAATATTTAGTTTGTAAGCAGATTTCTATATTGTATTACATTTTTGAAAATAGATTTGGTACCATTCTAAAGTTTAACTGTCAAAAATCTTACATTGTGAAGAGTAGTTATGGAATCTGCTTTTACTAAAGGATATAACTTATTCAGGTTTAAGATTCTGTTTATTTTTAAGGGCAAGCAGGGCATATCTTTATAATAACTTCTGTTAATTTTAAAATTCACTTTATTCATGTGATATTTATAGTACCAGAGTGATTACTTCACATCGATGAAATCTTAACTTTCTAGTGGCTGAAAAGATGGGAATTATTTGTGGGTACTCATTTATCGAAACCTATGTAACCATGTTTCAGATGATCTCTGCTCTTTGTCTTTTATATGCAAATTATCTGACACCAACTAAAAGTAGTTCATAATTATTATGTTTTAACAGTCTAAGGGATATGGTTACTTCAGGCAGCTGCTTTTGCAGATGTACTAAATAAAGCAAATGTTTTATACCCCAGAAATCCTCCATTAGCATCTCCAAGAAGAACCTCTTGGAAATCTGGATGGAAGAGTTCAGTGCATAATGTTGACTAAATAGTTCTCTCTCTTTCCTTCTCCCTACCCCTCCTCCATTGTTTAATTGGAATACACAGCATGTTTAATGGGCAGTGACTATTGTTTCTGGGGAAAACCATATGTTAAAGGACCAGGGTTCCCTGAGCTCTTTGCCTGTGACTGACATGTGATCAGCTCTTGGGATTCCCATGACCCCATTCTCTGGGCCTGGTATATAGATCATTGCTACAACTGTCTCACCTCTCCTCACACACAATTTTGTGTTTGCTCAAAATGTCAGAGACCAGTCTAGAAATGAAAAATAAATTACTAATGATTAACTTTTCAGCAAAATGTATATATAATAGGCTCTCAAACTTTAAAAAAAAAAATCCATATCCATAAATACTTGAACCTTTTAATACAGTTCCTAAATTCCTGTCCACACATATTTCATTGTCATAACAGTCGCACTTGATCATATGTACTCCTTGAAGAAGCATTCTGTTGGTGATGTAGATGATAATTGACAGTTTTTCTTTAAAATTTCTGCTTGTCTGCCTTTAGAATTCTGTATACAGGCAAATTTTCTTTAAGGACCTGTGCTAAATTTGCTTGATTGATATACAGATATGCTTTAATAGTTTGACACAGCTACCTTGTCATTTCATCTGTGCTTTGCTTAACTGGGCTCAAGGGACTCCTTTTATAATCAAATGAATTGACCTGGAAATGAGCTACCAGGTCATAGCTGAGCTATTACCAGGGGAATGTTTATATTCCCTTGCAGGTAAAGAGTTCCATGTCGCATATGGTGAATTCCTCTTTTGGTTCTTCACAGAGTAAAATGTTGTTGCTAACTTAACATTTGTAGAAGGATATTGGAAAATTCTAGTCAGGTGCCTACCCTTGACATATTTATGATGGACAACTACAAAGCTATTGTTCGACCAGTTATTGCTTTAATTACCTTCCAAGGTCTTCAATGCCTGCTTTACTGATGTCACTGAAATTTTCAAAACCAAGACATTCACTTCATTTTGTGCCACATGGTTGAAATTTTTCTATTAGCGAGTAGAAAATAACCATGAGATATGTAGACCGTAGTACAAATGATGGAACTGTTGAAAGTTCCTTAGGAAGCCAGTGCTGTGCCACTGGAAACTGTACACAGAAACAGGGATTCTTCACGAGCACTGTATGATCTCAACCTAGAAATGAGCCAAAGCTGTCTTCCAGCCAGATAGAAGCATATACATGTGTCTGATTTTTCCCCTCAGCCTATCGAAAATTCAATCAACATTCACAAAATGAAAAAATCATGATTCAAATAGTCATTGAAATGCTTTTATAGTGCTTGATTTGTAAATATTTTGGATGAAATATATTGGAATAGTATGAAAATTAGCAGATGTAGATCCCTGCCTTATTTTCATATGCAGTGGATACATCTCGAGCTTGCAGCACCCTTCTCAAAACTCAGCTGTCATGTGGAGCTCATTTGCTACTCAAACCGTAGATAGATATTTAACATAAGTGATATAATGACCTTCAGTATTTTTCTATTGAACAAGTTTATCAATTTTTGCCATTAAACAGATAATTAGTTATGCAAAGTATTTAGCTTTTATAATCATTTTAGTTATGATTAAAAGGGGAGGAATTGAGTTGTATCACTGATAATGAACTTCGCGAGAAATTTTTTGTTTATCTGACTTTCATTCCTTCAGTATTCTTGCTATAAATTTCTTTTGGAGATGAAGATTTATTTGAAAATGTCTAAAATGTTTATATAATATATATAGACTATATATATATAAAACCATAGGTGCATTTTACTGTTTTGTATTTTCATTTTTGGAAGTGGTGTACACAGCAGGTAATGATGAGTATGATGAGTGTTGTGCTGTTTGCTTTTGCAGTATAATATATAGTTCTAAATGTTTATATTACTGTAAATACTATATTCATTATAGGCTAGCATGCTTGTTTTAAAGACTGTCATTCTAGTTTATTAAAATCTGAATGTAAGAAAACTTGGCTATTCAAATGTGAATTGAAAAATATTCCATTCTCAGTAGTGAACTATTTCCATGGAACATTCAGGATTTTTAACAAAAATCAGATATCAAGAAGGCAATAGCTAGAGAATGAGAGGTGCCTTTTAAAAAATACAAATGCAGCCTTACAGTGAGGATGAGGATTGAGTTTGGAGGTGGGGAGTGAGAGAGAAGTAGGGGAGAGAGACAGAGACAGAGACAGAACGTGAGTGTGTGTGTGAGTGAGAGAGAGAGAGAGTGTGTGTGTGTGTGTGTGTATGTGTGTGTGTTTGCCAATCTGTGAAGGTCCTGATTTGTGACCATCAATGTCTTTTTAATGTATCTGCTCAACTTCTAGGACTTCAGGGGACATTTCACGCGCTTTGTGCTATTCTGAGCACCATATATACTTTCCAAGAATTTTGAATGTGAATTCCAAAAAATTTCAGTAGAGATGAAGAAAACTCTTATTTCATTTTAGTCAACTTCAGGTAAAAGGAGAAATTATTGGTTCACCAAAATTATGAGACCTCATTAATGTTGGCTAAGTAAGTGTAATTTTTAAAAGCTCACTTATTTTAGTACTTAATATATTTTCCCTTACACAAGAGCATGTCATGAAATTCTTATGTAATGAAGATTCAACTAGTAAAAATTATTTTTAGATTAAACACCTGAACTAGTTAAAATTCCACCTAAGAATAGTATTTAAATGGCATCTTTCATGTCTACCTCTTTGTCATTGCTGCCATTTTAACAGCAGATCTTTATGACATCTGAAAAGGTGGTTGGGTGCAATTTAAAAATCTGTGTTGGTGCTTTTCTCAGGCTTTGTCATTTAACTTATATTGAACTAAGATGTCACAAATCAGATTGAAAGAGAATTAATTTTGGTTTTCTTTTGAAAGAACTGCTTAAAATTTATCAATTTTGATAGTTGAGATAGTTAAACTCTGGTTAGTATATATGTCTGATGTTTTCAACCAAGAGCCAAACTGTTATTGGATTTATATGGAGAAAGAGCTCTAAGTATAATTTTTGTCAGCTTCTTTAAAAGCATTTCAAGGCTTTTAAGTACATAATCATTAATTTTACTTACTCAGCAGTTGCTTCTATTACTGTTACTTGTTTAGTTATTTATATAACTGTATAGACCTTTAAGTGTTTGACAGTGGGATTCAGGTTGTGCAAAATTAGTAGCTGACAGAAATTATATGTATATTTTTGTGAAATGTGTCAATTCCTAAAGTTCGTTTTAGGGAACAGTTTAGAAAACAAATATGTGTGTTTAAAAACAAAGGACAGGACATTGGTAAATGATTTAAATAATTTTTGCTCTTGCTACTGAAGGCTTTTTTAATTGCCCATATTCATTATTCAACTGGATCTCCATGTCAGTGTAAGAGACACAAGGTTGACAAAGTATTTAACAGATTGCATCAGTTTTTTTTTTTTTAATTCTCAAAACAAATACTAGGCTAAACTGAGATCCCTAGACCCCACTTATTTATTCTAGCAGTATTCTTGAAGTGGTGCTTAGGGATCAGAACTTTCTGGATCTTTGCTAGTTAAGCTTTAGATTTGATTTAACTGGGACCACGTTCTTGTCATCCCTATGATGCAAATTAGAAAGTTCATTTTAATTTAGATTAACTGTAATGTCTGCCTGGGTTTTCAACAACAGGCTGTGAACCAGCGAGTGCCTTGTTCATATAAAATGATTTTTCCCTGTTTGAGTGTTAGCTCCTCTCTGAAAATGTCTGAGAATGGTGTTTTAGTTGACTTGAAGAGAGCTGCTAAATTTGGTGTTACCAGCAATCAGAAAAATCTTTGGTGTACCACATACCTCCCTCCCTGCTTTCTTCTCATTGTTTGGCTGAAGTTTGCCTCTTGTGAGAAACAAGTACAACCCACCTCCTCCACAGTTTTTTCCAATCCAAACTAAGTGGTGTTCCCTTACACTCACTCCAACTATATGACATAATAAATGTTTTTGGGAGGAACCACTTCTTTGTAATCCCCGAAATCTATTGGTTATTTTGTGTCTTCTCAACTTCTGTTTACTAGAGCTGACCTCAGGGCATCATCAGTACAGATTACTAAATAATTCCTTTTCTCCACACCCCACACCCTTCCCACTGGTGAACCCCAGGGCAGATTGTTTGATCTTCAGGTATTTTAAAATTTAGTTATAATAATCAATTAATGTAAATTAATCCAAATGCTAATTTTTGTGGTGCAAGAAGTTTCTTTTGTAAATTCAGGGTATGAATAAGCTAATTAAGACATCCTTTTTTTTGGTGGCTCTAAGTGTATTATATGTTTTTAAATAAAGTGTACAAATATAGATAATGTGCTATAGGTGTCTCATGAATTAAAATAATTGTCAGATTTGGAATCTAGTGGATTTGCAGTTAAATACTTTAATACAACCTGACTTTGTTATCGTGGGTGGAGTTCGGTAGTAGAGGGGTACAGAGAAGTAAAAGGGTATTAGACAAAGTAGATGTGAGTCCACAATAATGACCCAATCTTAACTATTGATTGTGTGGAAGGCAGAGAAGTTTCTCATTAGAGAGAGTTTGGAAAGCCAGTAAAATTAAAAATACCCCATAGATTGTATCAGTGATACTTTTAGTGACACAGGTATATATTTTTTCAAGTGTTCAATTATGTAATTAAATTATACACACGTGTATATAAATTTAATGAGTTTTTATTTTTATTTTTTTGGCTACTTAACAGACAAACATAAGCCTTCCTCTTCCCCTTGCTCCTTGAAATCAACATTATTTTTCAAGGGCTTCCCAGTGCCTAGAACTCAATCTCTTTCCAACCTGGAGCCACATAACTATATAGAATGTAACAGGTACCTCTTCTGGTGTCTTTGAAACTATCCGCCATTCTTCGATATTTTGTATGCTGCTGTACTAATAATGAGTGTTATATCCTTTGGTATGTACACATTTTTTAGTAGTGTCAGAATGTCTCTTTTGTTCCTTATAATGAGAACTGGGACATGATTTGCTTGGAGTTATTTTAAAGTAATCCAGCCCAGAAGGTCAAGAGGATTCTCAAGTTTTCATGTATTGATGTACTCCTGAGTTCAGCCCAGGTTCAGAGTGGTATTCTGATTTTACTGGGCTTCCCAAGACAACCACTGAAATTTCGAGGGGACCCGGAATTGTCATGGCACTTAGGGTATTCCCAAGGAATACCTGGGAGCCTGGCAGCACCTTTTAACCCAAGCACTATAACCATGAAGCAGCCTTCCACTTGTTACTTCTCAGTTATATCTGTTGCTGACAGTGATTGGGACACTCAGTTCTGTGAAGGAACACTGACTTGCAGCTCTGAAAATTGGAATCCATATTTTCTGGAACACAAATTTTAATTTAGTATTTTTTGTAAACTTTAAAAAACAATCCAAAATCTACTAAACAACGGACTCACCTTAAGTTTCACTTAGATCCTACAAAACCCTAAGCTCTATCTTATTCCTAGTTATTAGACTAAAGGTAATGGTGTTTTGGTCAGACTTGAAGATGGATCTGCCCATTTAGGTGAACAAAATCTGCAATATCCTGCTATTAGGAAGGGACTGTTTCATAGAAAATTCTCTTGACCTTGGTGATTGAACCATTCACCTTAATAGAGACTGGTCCAGATGCTAACTCCACCTTGACTTTTCCTGTGTGCCTCTTTAAAGAGAGAATTAATCCAGTGATGTAAAGGAGAGCCCATAGCAAAACATCTGTTAAATAGCACTTGGAGTATTAGAGTTAGTATTGGTAATTCATGTGCCAAGTTTTTCATGCCCTCGTAAGATCCAATATATGTACTGGGTTCCCAATCTATAATCTCAAACCAAAGACATTTTTGAATTACTTCATATAATAGCATCATCAAATTAAGGGTAATGGTAAGGAAACCCATAACCCATAAATGAAAATTCCCAAACTGAAAAACGTTCTTTAATTAAAAACTGCACAGAAAGCAAAATTTAATGTTAAACATGAGTTGTAAAAATGCTTGTGATTTTTATAAAATGTGCTGAAATGTTAAAGTATACTAACTTTCAACTACTTTCTTTTGGGTGTGGGACAAGGTAATTTTTCATAAACAAGGTTAACTTAGCAAAAGAAATTTCATAAGTAGTAGTTTTCTTTGGATGCTGGATAACTTGAGTGAGGATGTCGGGGAAGAGGTACCACACCAGGAAGGAAAAAACAGCCAGCCCTGTGATCTGGCCCTTCTACCCATTGCCTCCCTTTCTCTTTAAATTGCCTGGAAAGATGACCTCTGAGATCTTTTTGGCCTCTAAAAGTAAATGGTTCCAATTCTGGCTTGTTTGTCATTGTCCCTGTTAAATAAAGATTTTTAGGAAGTACATCGGAAGTATCCTAGAGCTCCCTGGTAAAATGTCAGACAATATAGCTTTTATTATATTTTAGGATGCTATATTAACATAGGCCTAGGTATGTATCATCTGCACATGTCAGAAGAGTAGACATGTAAGAAGTGTCCTGTAGCCAAGTGATAATCTCATGAGAAGACAGAAGAATCATTTTTATAGGATGAGTTCTGTTTTGAATGATTTTGACAGCTTTTAAAAGCATTTTAAAAATGTATTT